TCGTGTGTTCGATTTGCGCTCTGTCGTTACGTCCGTGTTTGGGATTTTTCGTTAAATGTCTGAATTTTGACTTTTTTAATGTGACCCCCAGTATAGAAATAAAAGACGTAGTCCTACGTCAAAACAAATGTAATAAATTCTTAGCTTGAATAATTTGATTCTAAATGCTACATTAGTTTGGCTTTCGCATTGGTTTCATCGTCGATAAAGCACCTGGTTGTCCATCCTACGGGCCCGGGCTCTGGCCACTGTTCGTTGTTGGAATCTTTGGTTGGGTTATTTGCCTGCTCGGTAACATTTGTAGCCTGTAGACGGATTCACCGCATAGTACATTGGTCAGCATTCAGTTTTTCCGCCAAATCATAATCCGACCAATTGGGATCAACCTTGATTTTCCGAATGACCTTCAACCGCAGTTGACGATAAACGGTTCCACTCCTGCGCTTGGTTTGCACTTTGCGGGCAGTTGTGAGATTTTCCTTGTACTTTTTAATCACTCGCACCACAGTACTTTTAGGATAATCGAGCAGTTTTGCAAGCTCTCGAGTTGACGCTGATGGATTTTGGAGGTAACTGTGCACAATTATTTTTCTTTTCTCCTTCTGCATGATGAATATCTCGGGACCACGTTAGTTTTAAACTGTGAAAAAATAGACCGAGCAGAACTGTCTACAAGCAACAAAACGCTGTCAAAAGCTTGCAAACCTAACCATTGGGAGCGCCACTATCGCCAAAATGAAGTGCGCGATTTCTAAAAACCCATTTCAAAGCCTAGTTTGTTGATTTCTGTTTTGAACAACGTTGTAAAATTTTCGAAAAATCGACACATTTTTCGGATGGAGCAGTTTTACGCCATACGACGAATCGGAAAACTCGACCTAATCTGGTTGGCATGAAAATGTACATAATTGATTGTTATGGCTAGTGATTTACATTTTTACTTAAATTAAGCCATTTTGAATCATGTTAAATTTTGAAAATGGTGCCTTTGAAATTTGTCAATACATTTTAGTGCAAAAACGGCATTTCTGATCAAAATGCCGTCTGAGACAAAGTTGTAGAGACAAATAATATTTTTCTGTGAAAAATTTGCAAAACATGGTTTAAGTAATTTCAAGAAAATACTAAAAAAAATTAGACCTATATGTTTTGAAATTTGTTTGCCGACTTTAAAAAAAAAGTTTTATGAAAAATGCAACCTTTTGGAATGTTTAAAACTATGGACACTTAAAAATTGGCGAAAATCGAAGATCAAGAACTATTGGTTATACTGTTTCTTCAAACGTTTTTCCAAGTAATACTCAGAAAACAATGTTTGAAACATTTTGAATCAATTTCTGTGAAAAATTAGGCACTAGCAAAAAGCTTACAAATATTACCAAAAGTTTTTTATCTACGATTTTTATCATTGAGACTATGGTTTTTAACATTCCAACAGGTTTTATTTTTCATAAGGCTATTAAACAAAGTCATGTATCGGTCAAAGACATGAAGAGATATAAAGGACTTTGTTTTTTTTTTTTTTCACTAAGACATTATTTTTTCTACAACATTTTCTTAGACGTCATTTTGATCAGAAATGCTATTTCCGTGCCACATTTTTTTTTTAATTTGAAAAACGCTATTTTGAAATTGTACAAGATCCAAAATGGCCAAATTTGAGCAAAAATGTGAATTAAACACATTACGCAAAATTTCATACAAATCGGAGATGGTCGATTCAAAAATTCAATGTTTACAGATATTTTGCCTGAAACTACTTCTATGTAGCAAACTTCACAATATTTTATTTATTTGTCGTCAATCAGTGTAGACCGTTTTACAATTGTTGTCTTAAGTACTAATTTTACAAATTTGTCTTTGTTTATATTTTTTGTAATATGTCCTGAGAACAAGTTAAAAAATTATTTCTAGCTGACGTTATGCGAGGAATTAAAATATTGCTATAATTTGGTTTTTGCCATTGTAAAGTCAATGATATCGCAGCATTTATTATATGTGTCCATTTGGTTCAAGGGTCCAAATTTGGCATAATTCGTACGATGACGATTTGTAGCAAATATATTTCTATTTCGTAAATGCATAGATGGTGTATATACATTTAAGGATGACAATAGTTCTATTGAATCAATGCGATGTGATACGATACCGTTTACGAATGATTTGGATTTATATGAGACTGCACCGAGCTATGTAAGATGGCAGAAGAAATACAGTCCAACCTTACTTGCGGAGTGCATACAATAGAAACTGCTTTTGAACAGACTCTATTCTTTTTTCGTGTGTGATTGAAAAGGGGGCCCAAACTATGCTGCAATATTCTAATATCGACCCTACATAAGCAATGTACAAAGTTATAGCAGACACGTTTTATGAAACCAAGCATGTTATTAGCTCTGTTAATAATTGTGTTATAATTATTTGTGAAAGTAAGTTTTGAGTCCAAAATAACACCTAGATCCCTGACTCTATCATACTTTTCCAAGGTCTGGTTTCCTAAAGTGATTGTTATATAGGGTAGGATTCGTTTTCTACAAATGGTAATTGAGTTACATTTTTTATATTTAATTGTAGCAGGCTTTTATGACACCAATTATGGAATATCTGTATTTCCTGTTTGAATGTGATGATGTCTTTGGCAACTTTTATTTCCAAAAAAAAAAGTTTAATGTCGTCAGCATAGATTAAAACTTTCAATTTCTTAATGATGAAAGATATGTCTTTGACGAAGAGAATAAATGAAAGCGGTCCTAAATGGGAGCCTTGAGGAACTCCAGAAATGACATCAACGGGACTTGATGTCTTTCCTTTGTATTTTACTATTTGATGGCGGTCAGTTAAATATGATTCTAGCCACTTGAGTAGTGCGTAATGAATTCCCATTTTTCGGAGTTTAAAAATAAGCATGGGTATGTCAATTTGATCAAACGCTTTGCTGAAATCTGTATACAACAATTCTACACGATTTCCGTTATCCATTGCATTCAAGGAATAATTAATTAATTCGAGCAAATTCGTAGTTGTTGAACGGCCTTTAAAAAAGCCATGTTGCATAGTAGTTATTCTGTTTTTAATTTGAAGAAAGAGTTTTTCATTTATAATCGCCTCGAAAAGTTTCGGGATGCAAGAGATAATAGCTATACCACGATAATTACGTATGTCAGATTTTTTGGCCGATTTAAAGATAGGCACTAAAAACGGTTTTTTTTTTCATATTTTAGGGAAGTTTCCAGATTCCAGTGGCATATTAAAATCCCAAAATAATAGAGCAGTAAGTTCAGTTGCAAAACTGGCGGAACACCAGTCAGGGCCAGGACCTTTAGATACATCTAAATTGTTTAAGCCTTTTAAGATATCATGAACCTTGATTTGACTAAGATTCAAAATATTCACGGTCACGGTCTTCTGCTGAAAACGTAGTATAGATTTCTTGGAAGAAATTTGCAAACAAACCGAGAATCCCGTTAGTTTGGATAGCTAAAATCGCATTTAAACGACGCTCATTTAGATTCTGTTGAACTGGTACCCTTAAAGAGGTGCCCAATGGCGTTACGCACCAGTGTAGGGGTACCAGTTAAACAAATTCTATATAAGTGCCGTTTAATTGCGATTTCAGCTGCTCAAACTAACGGGGTTCTACGGTATTTCAACTCTGCATCCTGCGTACGGCACTGGCAGTCACTGTCTTGAGCAACAACTTACCATCCCATCACCACGTCGGAATTGGCCCTCCCGAAGACACGAGATTGATGGCCTGTCACACAGCGGTGACATCTTAGCTTGTTATTTAAAGACCAGTCAACCGGCGGAATAGAAAAGAGGGTGGGGGTCACATGGAGCGCTCTTTTATCTATGATACTGACTGTGTGAAGGAACGAACTACACGGCCGATGAATGTCACTCTGAATTGAGTCAATTTCAACTCATAATTGCAAAAAGTGGGGTTACTCAGGGGATGAGTAAAATTCTCCTCGATTTCCTCATCAATTGGCTTGAATATCAGGATCATCGACGAGTATTTCACGCAGTTTATGAGTATACTCGTACACAGAGTTAAATTTCCATAAATTTTCCTGATATTCTAGCCGATTTTTGAGGAACACCAAAGAAAATTGGGAGCCTCCTTAAGCTCAGTCGGTAAAGGTGCAACTTCAAAGCAAGACCATGCTGGATGCGGCTGGGTTCGATTCCCGGTCTAGGAATTTTTTATGGGTTGGAAAATATCTCGACTTCCCTGGGCATAGAATATGCTTGAACTTGCCACATAATTATACCAATTCAAAAATGGTACAGCCATCGAAAGCTCTCAATGTAATAACTCTAGAAGTGCTTCTAGAACACTACGTTGAGAGCATGTAAAAAGCTGATATGCATTCAATTTTACACAACCACTGAGTAGCCCCACTTTTTACAATTTTGATTCGAATTCGACTCAATTCTGAGTTACTCTCATCGACCGTGTATATAATGCAGGTGGAATATGCCTGTCACACCGTTTGCGATGTGGTCATTTCCTTTACGCGGATGTTCTCGGAACGATCCTGCTGGTTGGTGGCTTTCTCCCGGTCTTCGCACAGATCAGTCGTGGGATCAGACGGTAAGAATTTGCAAATCCACATTTGGGTTTCGAGTAGGAGTCTGGGAATAGAGAATGATGGCTTTTCCAGTGATTCCGTCGGTGAAGCATGGAAATTGGAAATTTATATTCAATATTCCGAAGAATTTGGACTGAACTTCTTTTGATGATGGCCCACGGCAGTTGCCTGCGGTGTGCTTTAGGAAGTAAAAATAACATTCATTTGATTTCTGTTGCCTAGATAGATACAAAATAAAACATTTGCCTTTTGGCATGTTTTGCTTCGATTACAAAGTTTTGATTAACTTCGGTGTTTCAGTGTGACAAATGTGAATTGGCATTACATTTTCAGATTTCTCCAACCTTAGCCATTTGTATTGAAACCAAATAATTGAGACCAAATTCCCACGATTTCTAATTGCAGGGCTCCTAGCAATGCCAGCCAACACAACCTAAACCGATAAAACACCCACGCAAAACGGAAATCGAAAACTCAGCCCTGCAATTGGAGACCGAGCACGGCAATCACCGCAGAGCAGCAAAAGTGTCACATTCCAGCTCCAGGGTGACCGGCAATTGACGCGAAGCCAAACGAAATCAAAATGCCACCGATAGTAATTCTGTGCTTACAGCTAATTATAGGAACCGTGTGCGATGCTTCCCCCTACATTCTGCCCGCAGCCAACAGTCACGCAGCGTTGCTTTCTTCGTCCTCCTTGGTCGCATCGTCACCTTCTGGACATCGGACGTCGAATATCGGCACATCAAAGCGTCAACCGACGACGTTAATTGAATCTGGGGAAGGTTTTGCTTATCGGCAGCATCATCAACCTCCCGGGCAGAAGCAACACCAACCGCCGGACGACGGATACTTCTATGGGCAGCACCATTTCCGACAGCCACAAGGACATCCTCCGAGCCATCGTCACTATCAACCGTACCATCACGGATTCGGTTCGGAAGATTTCATGGCAGAAATGCTACCAGAGTCGCAAGGTGAGTTGGGTTTTTCCTTTCGTCGACCACATGACTGACCGTGATGGCTTCCATCAGTTGCAATGATCACATTTTGTGGGTAATCATATTCATTGCAATAGCATTGGAGACTCTAATAGACCGAGGTAATTAGATTCGTCACTTATGGCTTCTCTACGGGGATGTATACACATGAAACGAAAAAAAAAGAAAAAAATTATGTCAATCGAGGTAGCAGATTATCAGTTAAATGTGGAATTGATGCACTTCCCGATAGAGGTATTTATTTTTTTAAAAGCTATCCACCGCACCTCCACATCGATTGCTGGAAAGCTTTTACGGAAAGCTTTATTGTTAAATTCAATTACCGTTCGGATCTGGCGCTTGTCAGCGTAAAAAAAAGTACTACACTCTGAAGATTCCGTTGTTTCGCTCTGGTACAAGCACGTTTCGTTGGGGGATACGCACCGACAATATTTAAATATACGGTACGATTGAATCTCGTTCCCTCTAAAGTGGGGTTATATATTGGTGGATCTGGTTTGTGTTTTATTCTAAATAAATAAGGTTTTGGACGAAGTATGCCCAAAGACAAAATTGGCGTTTGAAGGACTCTTTTCTATTTGAATCTTATTTTTTTTTGGGAAATATTGCGATCCCTCTTTCTATTTGGCTTTCGTCTAATGTCCGAATGGAACGTTAGGAAAATTTCTAAATTTGATTAATATACTCATATCTATCCACGGTATTCAATAAAAAAAATCATGATGTTAAGTAATTAAGAAAAATCAACTATCATAAAGTGAATAACATAGTTGTGTAATCAGTAATCTAGACCAAACTGCATACAATATAAATTCATTAGGCAAATTATCGATTAACGTTTAACTAGTTTATGTTTGTGGTTAGCGCTGCTAAATATAAGATTAGCGATACTACTGGTAGCGACGTGCAAGCAATTGAAGATTAATACTCCTATACTTCTCATATAAGTTTATAAATAAGCTTCTTAATAGATGTATAAGACGTTGTTTATAAAGGATAATAGATGTTTCAAAAGCTGCTTCTGAAATAAGCTTCTGAAAGAATCTTTAAAAACATTTCTTTAAATAAAGCTGCTTAAAGTAAAGTCTGGAACGCGCAAAAATTGGTCAACTTCAAATTGGTGTATTTCTGTTAAAAATGCATAGAAAACCTGAAATGCTGCATTTAGAAGTTGAGCGTATATTAGGGTGTCCCAAAATTGCACTTTGTCTGGAAATCTGGGGGCTCACCCACCAAATGATAGCTAAGTGTGTTACAAACAAACTTTTGTATGGCGGCAACTCTGGGAAATGTTGTTTAGAGGTCGCCCCGACGATATTTTTTGTAAAAAGTCAATTTTCCATAGCTATTATCTAATAAATATTTTTAGTTCTTTAAATTTCAGTGAAATCTCACCCTTTTATATTTTTCGCAGATTTCCAAGGGTCAAAGCTATAAGAGAAAAAATTGCTACGGCATGTTCTGTGTCCAATTTGTTAGTTACAATTTTTCAAATTCTCTAAAATGATGTTTTTTGTTGTACATCACTGCATTCAATCATCAAAAGTGGGTATCAAACATAGCGTTATTATCAATCAAATGCAGCAAATATATGGGAAATTTTATAAGCAAAAACTTTACCGAAGACACTTTAACTAAATTTTTAACCGTTAAAAAGATATTTGTGATTTACTGTGGAAAGAAAAGTTCAGAATTTCAATACTTACAGTATGTCCACCAGCAAATCAAACTATCATTGAAATTGATAAATACAAATCATCTACTTTGTTGCAAATCACTTAATAACATTTGTTTCAAAGTTTCTAGAATTCAACAGGAGGATATATGAGCGGAGAGGGATCACACAATTTAATAGTTTCCATTTGGTTGCCGTAGCAAGCAGAACCAAAAAAGAAAATCATGTCACCAAAAACCAAGCTCAAGTCGGATCTCATCACCGGTATTGCGAGGAAGCATTTGCCCAGAAACCGTTTGCCGTCGGAGTTGGCCGTCATCAGGTACTTTCGATTCAAGCATGAAACTCAACAACTTTCAATCGGAAAAAGCATTCAAGTTGTGGCTACCGAAGCTGCTTGCATATCAATGGTACACTGTTTGAGAAGCTTTTCGGAAACTCAACCGGAACTTTGTTTGTCACCTTCTGGCTCCAGAATTCTGCACGGACAGTATCGTTTCGTAGCTCTTTATCGATGTGGTTCACGCTTATGTTGAAGAAGTAACTCTACCGCATCCTACACATCTTCAAAGCTGGCAATAGCTCTGATTTTTCTTCTTGAAGACCTTACTTTGGCGTTGCCATGTCACAACGAGCTTGGCAGCCCTCCTAACAACGTTCCGCTTGAGCTGGTGCGAAAGTCCAGCTTGATTCCAAATCTCCACAGCTTCGGTAGCCACAACTTGAATGCTTTATCCAATTGAAAGTTGTTGGGCTTGAATCGAAAGTACCTGATGAATTCAATATTCTTGAGGTTCTTCTCGAATTTTTTTAGAACTCTCCTAAGAGCTCTTTTGAAATTCATTTCAGAAGTCCACTGGAAATATACTTAGAACTCTTCTTGTTTTTTTTTGTGTTTCTCAGAACACCTTGGAACTGAAATTCATTTAGGTTCCGGAAATTTTTCCCGAAATGAGCTAGAACTTATCCTCGGAATTCGCTTGAAATTTTGATTAAAATCCCTTTCGAATTTCACTTAACATATAATTTTCTCGGTATTTTTTTCGGAATTGTCTTGGACCTATCTGCAGGATGCACTAGAAATTATCCGTATAATTTTTTTTAATTCTTCCCAGAAATATTTTGGAACTGCCCTAAGAAATATTCTTGAGGTTCTTCTCGGAATATTTTAGAACTTTTATTTTGTCAGAACACATTGGAACTGAAATTTCCCTAAGGTTTCAAAAGAATTTCCTCTGTATTCTCCAGAAATTTTTCCCAGAATGAGCGTGAAATTATCCTCGAAATTTCCTTGAAATTTTTCTCAACATCCCTTTGGCATTTCATTCAAAATTTGATTCTTTCGGTATTCTATTCGAAATTATCTTGGAACTATCTGCAGAATTCACTAGAAATAATTTGCAGAATAATTATGGAACCATCCCCAGAAATCTTTTCTTTTGGAACAGTCCTCAGAATTCAATACCCTTGAATTTCTTCTCGGAAGTCAAGTTTAAGTTGTCCGTCCATTCACCAAAACGTTGTAGCTTTTCTACCAGAAATGTTCAATAAAGCTTGGCCCTACATTCACCAGAACTGTGCAATTTTTACTTCAGGAATTTTCAATTCAGCTTGCCCCTCCATGTAGTAGATTGTTGCAAATCTTAGACCAGAAATTTTCAATACAAACTTGCCCCCAGGTAAATTTAGACCAGAAAATTTCAATTGACCAGAATGGTGTAAATTTTCCACCGTTAATGTTCAATAAAAATAGCTTCTCCAAACTTCTGATTCGTTCAGATTTCCTTTTTCCATTTTCTATCAGACATTTTTAATATAGTTGGCTTCTCCCATCATCAGAATGTTGCAAGTTTTCCACCAAAAAAAGCTTGCTTCTAATTTTGGATTTTTCATCATCAATTTTCAGTAAAGTAGCTTCCCTCCAATCATCAGAATGGTGTAAATTTTACACCAGAAATTATTATTAAAATCTGTATCTCTATTCAGCAGAAGAATGCAAATTTAAGAACAAAAATTTTCCGAAAAGTTTGCCCATCCGTTCACCAGAACGGTGCAGATTTTCCACCAGCATAAAGCTTGTACCTTCATTTACCATATCAGTGCAAGTATTTCACCAGAAATTTTCTGTTCATTTCATTTATTAGAGTGATGCAAATTTTTCAATAAATCATGGTCCTCCATTCACCATAACGGTGCACCAAAAATTGTCAGTGAAGTTTGTATCATCATGCACCTTTGTGGTGCAATTTTCATGCATCAGAATGGTGCAGGTTTTCCACCATAAATTTTCAATGAAGCTTGCATTTATCAGAACGATGCAAACTACGCACCAGAAAAATGAATAAACCTTGCTTCTACATTCACATTCTACATTGCGAACTTTCCACCAGAAATTTTTAGTAAAATGTGCATCTCCAAATTTTTAGCGTGATTCAATTTTTCCACCAGAGTTATTCATTTTGATTAGTCTCACCATGCACCACCACCTTGATGATATTTTTATTCCAAAAATATTTAGTAAAAAGCATTTTCTTCGATTTACCACCACGAAGGTAATTTTTTTCAATCTTAAATTTACCCTCTTCTTGTAACCCTCCATGAATAACATTGAAAAAAAAATTACACCAGGATTCTTTTGTATGCACCAGTGTGTGCAATTTTTTGACGAAAAAATTTCATTGAAGTTTGTCACTTCATGCACATTTGTGGTGCAATTTTCAGACACCATCTCATATGACTTGACGCAACGAAAGGTTTTCAGTGCCCTTATATTATAAAATGAAGTTATTTTACCTTCAAATCAAGTTATCAAGAAATCAAGTTATTTTATATTCTAATTTTGAAAATGTGAAAATAAAAATCTTATGTTTAAAAGAGGGGGCAGTTGCCCCACCATGTCCCACCCTTTGCACGCCAGTGACCTTCGCAAACTTTCGCCCGTCTGCGAAATATCGCTCAGGACGCAATCCACCTTTAAGGTTCTGGCATTGCAGGTAGGTACGTACTGAGTTTCCTTTATTTCGTTTGTCGAAAATGATGTTCGTCTTCCCGGGCCAGTGCAAGTGTGAGGTACAAACCTGTGAGAACCAGAGCTGATGAGGAGTGCTATACCCTCGAGAATGTTGACTAAGTCCAAAGCTGTACATTTTGAAATAATGATTCCCAGTACACATTTTGCTCTTCTTGTTGACCCATATTTAGACAATTTTGTCAAGAATATGTGAACAGCATTCCTGAACATTTTTCCAAGTTATGTCGAAGTCCAAATAACGATGTTGGGTTTAACAAGGCAAATTGTGTA